ACGGGTTTGGAAAATTTCCTTTCCCCCCCCCCCCAACAGGTAGGCTACTCGAATGCTTTCATTTCCAATAACTTTCCAGTAAATCACGTTGTTCCGAGTTGAAAACAGCAGAGTATTCATTGCATACTTCGGTAGTGTACAAGCAAGTTGTACAAGGAAACAAATATATCATTCATATTTCGTGGGTTTTTTTCTGCCGTTATTTTGACATATAAAATGCTTTGGTATGTTAAAAGGATTTTTTGCTCTTTATAAGGATTTTTTTTGGTTGTTTATACAGGTTCGCGCTCCGAAAAGTTGACAGGTATGTTTTTGTTCAGTTTGACTGTAAACTAGGAGTGGCATTAAACTGCTTGAATTGTCTTATGGGGAGCAGGGGGGATGCTCAGTATTTATGGGACGTTTTGCGTGCAGAAGACACACTTGACTGTGTTGCTCATTGTTCAAATGACCCCCGATCGGAAGCAGATATTCTAAAACAGATGGGCGACAGTGAATTTCTCGGCTGTTTTTGCCCATGCCACCAAATATATGCGCAGCATGATGCCAGTTTCATCATTTCTAGAATTCGCCATGAAAAAAAGTGATTTTTTTTTTTTTTTTTTTGTGAGAACTTTCATCGCTTTGTTACGATAATGTCAGAGCTATGTGCACAATTCTTGCTGATGCGTGAAGGTGATCTTGGCGATTTAGTTCTTTTGGTGGCTAGAATTGTCAATAGTGCAGCTAAAGTATACAGATTGATCATTTGTTCGTCCCGTGTGGAAAATTAACCCTAAACCCCCCCTTTAACAGAGGGAGGTGCTTTACTTGTCGCTTGGGAGCTGTCCAGCGTAACGGTAACGTCGACACGTTATTCTTTCACATGCAAGAGGTCGGTTGCTGTGTTAACACGACAGCAGATCTTTACGGCATGTCGAACTGCTGTCATAAAGTTAAATACATCAACTGTTGTCCTGATATGACATCTCCCCCTTTTTTTCTGTGTTTTTGTTTTGTTCAGAACAACACAAAATTGCTTTCCTCAGTGCAAAAATATCTTAACTTGTTGAATATACAAACAGCAGCACAATCAGCTTGTGATTGTGCTGGGGTGCCGGTTAGGTTCCGGCACCCTCGCGACCCTTGTGAGGATAAAGCGGAAAGCCGATTGGAAAATGGATGGATGGATGGATGGATGTTAGAAGAAATCACCCATTTTTTTCGATGACACACTAAGACCGTTCACTTTGTCACAGGTAACAGGTAGAGAACTTATCAATGAAAAACTGAAGGAATCTGTTGCACATCTCGGGTGCCTAAAACATTCATCATAAAGGAAGGCACCAAAGTAAAAAGCAATGCTTGAAACCGTGAAGAATGCTGACATGGATGTAACTAATCCAAGTCAGACACATTGACATGATAAAATATGGTTGTATAGATCCGATATAGATATATTTCTTCGTACCATTGAAGTCAGCTGGTATCGGCTTCAGCACGCCGACAACGCGAGTGAGAAAACGTCACAAAGTTGATGGGTGGATGTTTAATTTTTCTGTTGTCTTCCGCGTACAACAACCAAGACGTAGTTTGCCCTCATACCTCTGGCTTTTTCCGGGTGCCAAGTAATGACATAATTGAAGGTGCCTCTTCCCTTTTCATGCACACACGCACATGCACACGTCTCTTACCTTTTCCTTCATTTCCTGCGTGTCATGCCGAGCTAGATTTTATTGTGTCGGCTTTCTGTGTGGGACTAAAACAAAACTAAATCATCTTTTTACTTTTTGTTTTTTAAAATTAATTCCTGCTGATCATGATTGTGAACTGGCTTGCATTTGTTGTGATTGTTCAAACAGACAGCGTGATGCCGGGTAAGTCCACTTGCTTGACAAATTTATCTAAATGTCTTTCCAGGATGCTACCTTGTGTTTGGGCTTCACTCATTTTATTTAAGGAAGTCGTTATTCGTCTTTGCAGTCAGATACCACGTGACAAAATGGTGTTTACGTTTTGTCATGTTATTGTCAGTGTAATTGTGCTTGAAAGTTTTTGCATGGCGTATTGGTTTCTGGGGAATGTGGGACACAAGATCAGCCGGTCCCGTTTTGTTGTCCGGTTGAGGGTCAGTCACATGTCCATCAGTGGACAGCGAATTTCGGTTTTGGCCAGTGGGTCATTCCAATAAATTTAAACCACAAGTTCCCCTTTACCTCTTGGATTTTCTTCAACATTTTGATGAGGTGTGGATGGAAATGGAGCAAAAACAAAACAAAACAAAAAGACCTGTGAGGCGAACAGACTTTTAGATCATGAGTGACATCTCTCAATGTAGAATGTCGACGGTTTCACTTTGAAATGGCTGCACTTGCTGACTTTGGTGTCACTCTAAATCTCTTTCATAGTCTGACAATACTTGTAAATATTCTTTGGTAAGGGAAGCATCATTCCTGTCATTCGTAGTCCCACACTGCCAAGGTATGTCAACAAATAGTCTTTTTTTTTTTTAAACTTCATAGTTTCCAATTTAATTACACACAAACAGAAAAAAATGTATGAAGTTATGCTCCGCAGCGGCACAAGAATTCATCGGAATATTTTGTCGCAATTTAAAGATTCACATTTCTGCCTTTTGAAAGAAGTATTTTTGACACCCACGTCGACACGGTGGCGCACCTGCCGGCAATTAACGCCTCCGGACTCTGCAAGCTATTTGGTGCGCCATTCGAGGCATTCAACTTCATATTGATCCCGTCCAGACCAGTTTGGTGGCTGCTCTCATGGAGAGTTGGAGAAAAGTCAGCTCAAAAGAAGATCCTCGGCAAAGTAGATCAAGCATCGTGAATTTGAGAGTGACATGAACTCAACTATGGCGAGCGTTTTTGTTTTATTCTTGAAATCCAGATAGATGTTTGAATCTCATGTTGATGTTTTGTTTCTTTGTTTTTTTTTTCTTTCAGCAATCCACTCACTGGAGAATTTCGTCACAGTTTCCACTCAAATTGCCAACTTACCAGACCACGTGGGTGTTGTTTATGTTGATGACGTTGCTGTGATGTGCTATGACAGCAAGAACAGGATTCTGGAGCCCAGAAATAACTGGGTGAGAGAAGCCACAGCAAACGATGCAGACTTTTGGGAAAAGGGGAGAAACGTCGCCATGATTCTTGAGGGTTTGGGCAGATCTTTGCTGGAAACCGTGAGAAAGGCTTTCAACCAATCTGAAGGTCCGCTTCTCTCACGCTTTACTTTTCGTAGACATTTTCGGCGCTGATCAGATTTCCGTTTGCCTTCCAACGCTTTTGTCATCCTTTCAGGTGTCCACTTTGGGCAGGCGAGGTTTGGCTGCGAATGGGATGACCAGACCGATGCTGTCGATGCTTGGGAAAAGATGAAATATGAGGACGAGCACGTCATGTTGTTGGACGTGAATACATTCACATGGACCGTAGAGGGCCCGCAGGCTCTTGCCATCAAACACAAGTTTGACTTTAACGAGCTTCAAAGGGACCTGCGGCAGCATTACTACACGGAGGTTTGTCCTTCTTTGTTGAAGAAGCTGGTGAACTACGGGCGGAGCATCCTCATGAGAACAGGTAATGATCACATGATGTCCTTGGACCGTTGGAAGCCGAGATGAGCAGCACTTGATACTATTTTGCCAGTTCGTCCTCCGACCTCCATTCGCGACCTGGGTACACTGCCGTCATCGGCCCTCCGTCCTTATTTCTGTAATCATCGTCCTTCGTCCCCGTCTGTCCTTGTCCTTTGTAGTCTCAGTAAACCCCCCCCCCACTTTGAGCGTGAATGGCAACAGGTGGAAACACAGGTTCATCTTTATTTGAAGCGAGCCTTGCTGGTTGAACAAAATCCATTGCCTCCGTCTTATCTCATGTCATGTCACTTTCTGTGCAGAGCTTCCCAAGGTGTCTCTTCTTCAGAAGACGCCGTCCTCCCCGGTCACCTGCCACGCGACAGGTTTCTACCCAGACGTGGCCGACCTTTTCTGGAGGAAAGACGGTGAGCAGCTCCACGAGGACGTGGACTTGAGCCAGACTCTGCCCAACCACGACGGAACCTTCCAGATGATGGCCAACCTGAAAGTGGAGGTGACGGATGAGGTGGAGGGCCGGTACGAGTGCGTGTTTCAGCTGGCTGGTGTTCAGGATGAAATTGTCATCAAGCTGGAGAGAGGAAACATCCTGAGCAACGCACGCATTGAAGGTGAGGAACATGTGTTCGGGGATGCCCAAACTTCTTGGCCTCCGGCCACCTCATTCATCTTCACCAGGAGAACTCAACTCAAATTTATTACTCAAGCATTTGAAAACAACCACCGCTGTACACAAAGTGCCGTAGATGGAGAAAAATTCAAATGTACAACAACAAACAAACAAACGGTCAATCTAAAAATTAAATCTCATGCTGAGTCAAACGCCAAAGGATAAAAAATAGTTTTTTGAAGACGAGTTTTTGAGATAGGCCGCAAGGGGGCTTGCCCAACGTTCCTTCCAAAGAGAGGGAGCGGCAACGGAAAAGGCTCCATCCCCTCGGTGTCATGATTCGGTTTGGGACCAACAGGTGGCACTGTAGGGCTTTCCCTGGGATGCCCAAACTTCTTGGCCTCCGGCCACCTCATTCATCTTCACCAGGAGAACTCAACTCAAATTTATTACTCAAGCATTTGAAAACAACCACCGCTGTACACAAAGTGCCGTAGATGGAGAAAAATTCAAATGTACAACAACAAACAAACAAACGGTCAATCTAAAAATTAAATCTCATGCTGAGTCAAACGCCAAAGAATAAAACATCGTTTTTTTGAAGACGAGTTTATGTAATTAGTGCTTTAAAAGGACTCCCAGCCCGAGCACTCATTGTCGGGTGTGTTTGCTCTTGGCGACTGTCATGTTTGTTTGCGTGTGTTTGCTCTTGGCGACTGTCATGTTTGTTTCAGTCAGGTTTTGGTCATTGTTTTATCTTCAGTCATGGTTTTTGTTTGATACTTTGGATATTGTTTGTTTGGGATTTAGTTTCCTGTGTTTTATCAAAACACTTCTTTCAAGTACACCCAGCTCCTCCTTCCTGCCTGCTTTTTGGGGTCCACCACCACCATGCAAATGTGACACTCAGAGCCTCCGCTTAGTTCTCGGTGCCGCCAATCGTGTGTGGTGGGCAGAGCTGAGGCACCGGGCAGGTGTGTTGGGATGGAGGAGCTCAGACAGTTTAAGGTGGGGCCAGGGCATTTCAAGATTTGAAAACAAATAACAGGATCTTAAATAGTACGCTCAAATGAATAAGGAGCCAGTGAAGGGATGCCAGAGTAGGAGTTCTGTGCTCCCTCTTACGAGTAGCAGTCAAGAGATGAGCAGCAGCATTTTGGACCAACTGGAGAGGCTTCACAGAGTTTTGGCTGACTCCAAAGTCAAGTGCACAATTCTCTTCATTTTTTTGTATAGTTTGCCGGTAAACTATGAGTGGCATTAAACAGCTTGAATTGTCTTGATGCTCAGTATTTATGGGATGTTTTGCGTGCAGAGGACACGCTTGGTTGTGTTGCTCATTGTTCAAACGACCCCCGATTGGAAGAAGATATTCTAAAGCAGATGGCCGACAGTGAATTTCTCGGCTGTTTTTGCCCATGCCACCAAATATATGCGCAGCGTGATGTCAGTTTCATCATTTCTAGGATTCGCCATGAAAAAAAGTGATTTTTTTTTTTTTTTTGCAGTGAGAACTTTCATCGCTTTGTTACGATAATGTCAGAGCTATGTGCACAATTCTTGCTGATGCGTGAAGGAACAGGTAATGATCACATGATGTCCTTTGACCGTTGCAAGCCGAGATGGGCACTTGACGCTATTTTGCCGCTTCATCCTCCGACCTCCATCCGCGACCTGGGTACACTGCCGTCATCGGCCCTCCGTCCTTATTTCTGTAATCATCGTCCTTTGTCCCCGTCTGTCCCCGTCTGTCCTTGTCCTTTTAGAGCGCTTCCATCCCAGAACATACACCCCCCCCCCCCAATTTTATTGCGTGAATGGCAACAGGTGGAAACACAGGTTCATCTTTATTTGAAGCGAGCCTTGCTGGTTGAACAAAATCCATTGCCTCCGTCTTATCTCATGTCATGTCACTTTCTGTGCAGAGCTTCCCAAGGTGTCTCTTCTTCAGCAAACATCACCTCCGAAAACATCATAATTGGCTGCAACTGCCGCAAGCCATCAGTGCCGTTGTCACGATCGCCCATTGAGCAATTAAGGGGGAATCAAGCCGTCGACCTGAGTGTCGTGTTGTTCTTGTTTTGTTTTTCAGGTTCAAGCTTCAGTCAGCAATCCTGATCAAAGTCTGGCAACATCATTTTCACTCGAGGGTGAGCGTGTTTTTCCTGTTCGGGACATGCCGTTGCAGTTTGAGCAGTGGTCGCACACAGCTGAGTGACATTTTGCGTTGCGAAGGCCCATGTGAAGACAACAAATTCCCCGCATGCATTTTGCATTGATATTATGCAAAAAGCTTTAAAATCCATGACGTCAAATAAATAGGAGGTTGCAAGTTTGTACATTTTGCCACTCGCGTCGGTGGTATTGAAGGAGAACTCAACTTGACTTTATTTCTTGAGCACTTGAAAACAACCACCGCTGTACACAAAGTGCCGTAGATGGAGCAAAATTCAGATGTACAACAACAAACAATACATGTATGACAAAGACAGTCGAAAGCACCAAAACAGTCAATCTAAAAATTAAGTCTCATGCTGAGTCAAACGCCAAAGACTGAAAATGAGTTTTTTGAAGACGAGTTTTCGAGATGCGCAGCGAGGGGGCTTGCCTAACGTTCCTTCCAAAGAGAGGGACGGAAAAGGCTCCACCCCCTCGGAGCCTCTGCTTAGTTCTCGGTGCCTCCAATAGTGTGTGGTGGGCAGAGCTGAGGCACCGGGCAGGTGCGTTGGGATGGAGGAGCTCAGAGAGTTTAAGGTGGGGCCAGGGCATTTCAAGATTTGAAAACACAGATAAAACTAAGAGAAATCAACTCGTTGCCAGCCAATGGCAGTGAGAGTTGACCGCTGTTTTAAAAACTCCCAAGTTTCAATAACCGCTAATATGCTCTGTCACCAGCAAATGAATAAAGAGCCAGTGAAGGGATGCCAGAGTCGGAGTTCTGATCCAAGAATCATTTGGGATTCTTTTCCAGTGGTACCTTATAAATGTATCCATAAATAATTCAATAAAATCAACCACGTGCCAGCTAACGGTGCTTGAACATTGTGAAATGAATAGAAAAAGGAAAACGCGATTGGCTGCTAATAGAGTTGATCAAATTAGCCGTCTCTTTGAAGTAAATTGGGGGCTTTTTTTTTCTCCTCGAGAGAAGAAAGTGGAGGGGTGAGCAGTGACGCACAGAGGAGAAGGATGGGGGCACGCAGGGAGTTGAGACAAAAGAGACACAGTTTTGTTGACTTCCACGGATGCCTTTTAATTCATGGCATTGTTGTCCACCCACCAAAAAAAACAAACATGCTGCCGGCGTGTACTAATAAGCCCCAAGGACAACGTGAAGAGCTCATCTGTTGTAAAAATAGCTCAGCAGTGATGGGACACCAACTCGATGATAAAAATAAAAACAGAATGTTACACAAAAAAAAAACAAACATGCTGCCAGCGTGTACTAACTAATAAGCCCCAAGGACAACGTGACGAGCTCATCTGTTGTAAAAATAGCTCAGCAGTGATGGGACACCAACTCGATGATAAAAATAAAAACAGAATGTTAATGTTTAATTTTTTAAACTTAACATGATCCACGTTTTGTAATGGACCAAATATTCAATATTTTTAAAAAATAAAATAGATTGCGTTGGACGTTTTAGACCATGTTCATACTGTGACGCGGCAATATTTGTGTTCACTTTTATCATGCGGTCAGAATCTAATGTGGGCCCACGCCGACTGCCAACATGATGACTTGTGAGTGCAGATAGTGGATATGTTGAACATTTTCCAGCCGAACGGGGATGGGGCTGGGACGACACTTCCCACACCAGATGCTCGTCAGGGTCAGCATCAGTCGGTCTTCAATCATAAGGTAAGGGAGAAAATGTTGACATTTGTCCCCGTGTGTACTGCGCGTAACGTCTACATTTTCTGGGCCTCAACTTTAACAAGTCGATCGTGGGAGGAAACATGATTTTTGACACACCACACATCACGGGATAATCTTTTTTGGGGGGGATATTCAATCATCGGGCCAATTATCCGTTTTCATCAGTCGGTCTTCAATCATAAGGTAAGGGAGAACATGTTGACATTTGTCCCTGTGTGTACTGCTCGTAACGTCTACATTTTCTGAGCCTCAACTTTAACAAGTAGATCGTGGGAGGAAACATGATTTTTGACACGCCACACATCACGGGATAATCTTTTTTGGGGGGATATTCAATCATCGGGCCAATTATCCGTTTGTACTTCACTCGCCTTAACACTGCCACCGCTGTCCCATTTAGAATTTTCAACACACAAAATGCAATTCTCTTCATTTTTTTGTATAGTTTGCCGGTAAACTATGAGTGGCATTAAACAGCTTGAATTGTCTTGATGCTCAGTATTTATGGGATGTTTTGCGTGCAGAGGACACGCTTGGTTGTGTTGCTCATTTT